GCTCTAGTTCATCTCATGTAATTCTGCTATGGAGACAGCTGTTGCAGAGAGCAGGGAACTACTTGGTTCCTGGCTTGGTCTCTAGGTGCTCTGTACCTTCTGGGCACTCATATTTTTGTGTAAAGGACAAGAAGAATAATGCTGGGGGCTACCCTAGCAGGTGGCTGGGATGGGGCAGAAATGCAAGGGCAGGCAGGGATAGGAGACAAACAGCTTACAATAAAAAAACAGCTTCCCTCTCTGCTCCTTTGCCAGTGCTGATGGGGTCCCATTCCTCATGCATGATGAGGAACTCACCAGGACCACCAATGTGCAGGCTGTGTTCCCTGAGAGGGCTGCCCTGAACAGCACTGCCTTCAACTGGACGGACCTCCAGCAGTTGGATGCTGGCAGCTGGTTTCTGGAGGTCAGGATGCCCTAAGGGTGGCTGGTCAGGGATGGGTGCATTTGTGGGCAAAGCATTAGCCCTGCCCTGGGGCTCCAGAACCTTCCCTCTGGAGCGCTGGCCCTGGCAGACACCTGGACAGGGTGCAGAAGCCTGCACAAATCCCTTGGGTGCGGTTATGCCCCAAGCTGGGGTTTGTTCTGACTCCTGAACTGAGTCACAGAGGAGGCTGGTTTGAGGGGAGATGTCTTGTGTTTGCTCTGAGCTGCACAGCCTGCCTGGGCTTGAAGGTAGCTGTGGCAAGGCTCTTCCCAAAAGGTGACTAACTACTGCTGAGCTGCTTTGAATGCCCACAGGTGCTGGGTCTGCTTGAACTGTGCTGTTAGGGGGGAGAAGGGTAGAGGTACCACATGGGTGTGTATAGGAAGGATCCCTGTGCCTGCCTGCACTGTGGAGAGGCCATTGTAGGAAACTGAGAGCCATAGATGGGCACCAGTCTGGGAGGTGGAAGCTTACAGGGGCCCTGCCTATGCTGACTAACCCTCTCTCACCCTTGCAGCGGAGGCCGTTTCCCACCGTGCAGAGTCTTTCTGCTGGTGATCGCCACCAGGCAACTCAGCAGAGGATCCCCTCCCTGGGACAGGCCCTCGAGGCAGCCAAGCAGAGCAATATCTCCATCATGTTCGACCTCCGGCCTGAGAACCACAGTGACTACCAGAGCTTTGTCAATGCCACCCTGGCAGTGATATTACAGTCAGGCATCCCGCTGCAGCAGGTGAGCTGGTCACCGCCCCACCGCTGCCAGGCCCTGCTGTCACACCCCTGCCGTGGTGGGAGGTGCCCTGCCAGCCTCACTGAGCATCCCTGACACCCCATACACCACATCCCCATAGATGATACCTGCTGGGCAACCCTGTCCAGGTGTGGGGTTCTCTAGCTGGGAGAAGTTGCCAGTAATTAGGGTTTAATGCCTATAGCTTCAGACCCCTCCAAATACTTTTGTTTCTCAGCAGTGGCCACCTTGGTGTGTAAACAATGACTCAGTCTAGGGAGGGGACCATCACTGCCAGCATGAGCAGGAGTACAATGCTGAGGCTTCCACCTCCCCCCAGTGCACCACACCTCTCCCTGCAGCTCTTGGACTTCTGCTGCAACCTCCTGTGTTCCCTTTGTGTTTCATCCAACCTCTGCAGCACAGAATATATGCTGCCCTTAGGGGATGAATTAGCACTCAAATTGCCTCCCTTCCTTGGCTTTTTGGGTATGTAGGGCAGGAGGGGACATAGCAAAGACTTCTACTATAGTGCTGATCCAAGGTGCATTCTTGATGCAGTGTTGGGGCCAAAAGGGATGCACTGCTTGATCCCTTCAAGGACCCAGAAAGAACATAACTGCTGCAGCTTTCTTAGGCTGGAACTGCTTTCTCACCTCAGTGGGGTCTGTAGTGCTTACTTCTTGTCTGGGACAAGCTCATAGGAGGCTGTCCTGGCTGAGATCCTCAGGGAGGAGCTGAGCATGGAGTTGGGGTCAGGGAGCAGCTGTCTAAGCAGGCCATGTGTGCCTGACCCTGGAAGGAAATATTGGAAGAGAGCAAACTCCCTGGAGCACCTCTCCTCTGCATGTGCCCTCTGGCTCTTGCCTAGGTCCTCTGGCTTCCAGACGGGTTCAGGGAACAGGTCAAACAGCAAGCCCCAGGTGTTCAGCAAGTCTATGGCCGGAAGAGACTCCAGAATGAGAAGGAGCCACTACTGCATGTCAACCTGCCCTACCAGGACATGAGCTCTGAGGAGATCAGGTGAGAACCCTTTGTCCAAGTGCCTGGGAGCTGTGGGGGTCTGGGCACTTTCCCAGCTCTGTCGCAGCAGAGGTGAGGGCCAGCTGAGGCTGAGTGCTGGTGTGCTGCTGGGAAGGGCTGGGTGAGTGCTTTGTGGACAAGCGTGCCTTATCAAGGCTGGGCTGGTGCAGGGGATGGAGCTGGCTGCAATCCTCTGCCTTGCCAGCAAATCTGCCCTGGGTCTGGATCTCCAGACAGTCACTCCACGTGGCTGAAAATGCTGGATCATATCCCAGATGTGCAGTCCTCTCTGGCTGTACATGGAGTGTGATGGCACCCTGCTGTCTGCTCCTCTGACCATGGCTGTCCCCATGCAGGCAGTACCGCCAGGACAACATCTCTGTCAACTTGTATGTGGTGAACCAGCCCTGGCTCTTCTCGGTGCTCTGGTGCTCTGGGGTGAGCTCTGTCACCACCAATGCCTGCCAAGTGCTGAAGGAAATGAAACACCCCATCTGGCTGCTTGTAAGTAACCCCCCCATCCTTCACTCTGCCCCACAGCCCTGTGTCCCAGGCACTTGTGGGTCCCTTTCTGCAGCAGCCCTGTGCAGCCAGCTTCCTGGAGGGTGTCTTCTGCTCGGTGCTGTACTGGCGTGGGAGCAGGTGACACTGTAGAAGGGACTGGTGTCCCAGCAGGCTGGCTGCCACCAGTACACTGCCCCTAGCTGGTGGTCAGTGGGTTCTCTTGTTGCCTTGCAGCCCAGCAGCACATATCTCATGATCTGGATCGTTGTAGACTGCGTTTCCTTCCTTACCATCCTCTGGGCCTTCCTCTTGCTGAAGTAGGTTTGATCTCTTTACCCCTCCCGAGGCAGGTCTGTTGGGGGACGTCACAGTGTGGCCTGGGTGGTTGGTACATATCCAAACCTGGTCATATCTGCTGCCACCCCTCTCTGGACTCAGATTCTGGGGTGGTCCCCTCCAGTCTGGCTAAAACAGCACAGTGTGTGGAGGCAGCTTTTATCCCCAGGCTGCAGCTAAAAATCTGTCCTGACTCTGCATCAAGCTGCTGAATGCCTTAGTTCACACTTCCTAACTCACTCTGTACCCCAGGGTTTGGTGGGCTGGGGCTGGGGGACCCTGGTCCTTTTTACCAGTGCTGCATACACTGAGAGCAGATCCCTCGAGGAACTGTGGGGCCCCACAGCCTCCAGCTGGCAGCTTAGGGGAGGGAAGCGGGAGGCCAGACTTGCATGCTAACATCAATCCTATTCCATCTCCTAGGAAATGCTCCCACAGAAGGCGGCCAGCGGGTGAGTGCGCACGGGATGAGAGCTCCCCTCCCTCGGAGCCAGGCTGCTTTCTCCAGCCAAACGTGACAGAGTGGTTTGGGATGGCTGGGGGAGGGAAGGGAATCCCAGCCCAGGGAGTTCCTGCCTTGCCCTTAACAAACAGCCCTGTGGGACAACACCGGGGAATCCCACATTCCCCAAGTCTCCTCAAACCTGCTTTTCAGGCCACTCCGCCTGTTGCTAGGGGATGCTGGCTGCCCACGATGACTATTTTTTCTCTCTCTCCTCAGAGTCTGAGACGGATGTGCTGCTCACAAAGATCAACAGCTTGATGCAAGAGTGACCCCTCTTGCCTGCGTCAGCCGTGGGGAGGGGCAGCCACAGCCCTGCACAGCTCAAGGGGGGAGTGCTCCTCAGGCCAGCTTCAAGGCTCCTTTCCTTCGCAGGCTCCTTCCTGAGCCTTCCTTCTCCCGTAGCCTTCCTGGCTCTTTTCATGGTGCACAGCTGCCCTCAGCTGAAAAGACTTGGAACTGGGTTCCCGTTTCCCACTGGCAGCGAGGAACTAAAGCTTTGCAGGGATTGCCTAGGGTGGAATACTTATCCAGCAGAGTTGGAGCTGAGACCTCTGCCTTGCGGTTTGGACACTAGTGGGGTTTTGGGTCACTGTTTGGTGCAGGGGAAGGGCAGTCTCTACCTGTCGTCACTGCAGTGGCTCTGCAGCCACTGAAGGACACCTGGTTTATGTGTTGTTCGTCTGGCTTGAGGAGTAGAAAGTGGGGTGTGGGGTGGCTTTTCACAAGATGAAGGGGGAGCTGAGCTCTTCGCACCCCCGTGCTGGACACAAATCCTGCCCCTGCTGCTGCTGGCTTCATGCTTCAGGGCCAGGGTCCTGGCACTCCATGCAGCAGTTAATGCCTGTTGTTCTGGGGGGAAAAGGAGCAGGGCTAGGCTTGGGGGGTGTCTGGGGCTGGCGGGATTACAGTCACACTGCTGCTGCCGCTCCAAGGCTGCGGAGGGAGCGATGGGACTCGGCATCAGACACGTTGCAGCAGGGCCTTGAACATGGAAAGGGGACGGAGGGGGGGATGGGGTATCATGTCAATTTTTCATGTCAGTTTTACTTGTTGCTACCTATTTATGTCAATAAAGCAGAGGAGCGGCAGACAGACCCCGCAGGGCTCCGGTGGGCACGGCTGCATCCTCCCTTTCCCCGCGGGTCGCGGCTGCGGGAGGCGCTGCCGGCGCGGGGCAGGGGCAGGCGCAGCCCGGACGGTGCCGGCCCGGCGCGGGCGCGTTCCGCGGCGCCTCCGTGCCACCTAGTGACCGCACCGGGAACCGGGGCCGGCGGGCCGGGCCCTCCGCAGCGGGCAGAGACGGGAGGCCGAGCCGGGCGGGGCTCCGGCCGAGCCGCCCCGCAGCCCGGCGGGCTCCGAGGCGGGGCAGAGCGGCGGGCGCGGGGCGCTCCCGCAGCCGGGGCGCTCCCGGAGGCGGTGCCGGCGGGCGGGGGGCGGCTCCCGGCCGGTCCTTGCGGGGCGGGGCGGGGCGGGCGGCGGCTCGGCCGCTCTCGGGCTGGCACCGAGCGGAGCGGCCGTCGGCCACGGCGGAGCGATGATCCGCCGGGAAGGTAAGGAGGGCACTGACCGGCCCGGCCCTGCCCTGCCCTGCCCGCCGTGCCGGGCACCGCGCCCCCCGCGCTCAACAAGTGTCCGCCCCGCCGGTGCCGGCGCTGGGACCGCGCCCGGTGCTCCGCGCCCCTGCCGGGCAGCTCCCGCCCTCGCTCCCCGCTGCGGGCGGCCGTGCAAGCCAGGGGTTAAGAGCCGAGGACGGGGCGCCCTCGCTTCACGCCCTCCTCGGGCTGTGGACGTGTCCTCGTGGCTCGGAGCGGGTGGCCGTGGGATGCTGTGCTCGCACAGCCCTTGGGTGCTGTGGGGAGGAGGGCGGGCGTGGGGGTGTGAGTCCTGCGAGGAGGGGTCTTCTGTAAGTGGGACTTGGATGCACCTTGAGGCATGGTGAGATGGGCCCTGGACAACACGCGCTCTTTCTTGGGTGCTGTAAAAAGGGTCCTCCAGTCTCACCCCCATGCCAGGTGCACAAGCACTTCCCCAGAGCCAGTGCTCCCCCGCTCCAGCCGGCTGTCACCCAGTGCCGGTGGCCAGCAGCACAGAAGTCAGCGCAGGGTGCGTGATGCTCTATCTACACAGCCTGGACTGGGGTGGGAAGTTCACACCAGGTTCGCAGTCTTTGTGTCCTGGTGTGGTGGCCCCAGTTCTTCATCTGTTTCTTTAGCTTTTGCAAATAAGGTCAGGAATGACCAGGCAAAGATGTCTCAATCCTGCTCATGGGATGCTGGGCAGTGTTTGAAGCAGTCTTATCTTGCAGAAAAGGAAGCTCTTAGTGATAGTACAGGGCTAGGGTCCCCATAAAGCTTAGGGAAGTCCCTGCTTTTCATGGAGCCCAGCTCTGAGTCGGAGCTATTCACGCTTCCCCAGACTCCTTTCCTTGTTCTGCTCCCACGATGAGTCACTGTGGGCTGGGGACACAGGCAGGAGGACCCCCTTTCCCTTTCGGCCGAGGAGGAGCTGGGAGTCTGGGCGAGCTGGGATACCAGGTGGCACACACCCTAGCAGACACAGGCCCCCTTGTCTGATGACCTGAATTCTCTGCCAAGAGCCCTGTGATGAGCAGGGTCATCCTTTCTGCATGAGTTCCTGGCTTAAAAGATGAGTCTCCAGCAGTGGCGGGACAGCTTCTCTGCCTCCTCAAACAGACGCTCTTTGTCTGCAGGCTGCCTGGGTGACAAAGGGAAATATCCACTGATAGGGCTGGGACGGTCTCAAGGTCCACAGGAACTTCCCACCTGCCTGAGATGTGGGTCACATCTGAGGTTTGGGCTGCACTGGCAGCTCTGGCTGTCTGCCCAGAGAAGCATGGAGGTGTCCAAACACAGAGCTCACAGCTCCACTATTTCAGGTCCAGGGTTTTCATATAGCTATGTGAGCCCAGTCTTTAACCAAAGCATTGCTTTGTGGCAGTCTCCAACTCCCCTCCTGGCCAGCATCTCCTTTGACCCCAAGGCATCGTGTTCCTTTCCCACTTGTCTCCTGCTGACCCACAGCTGCTTGCTGCGTTGAGCAATTCTTACGCTTCACCCTGTAGAAACCCAAGTTTCGCCACTCATGGAGCTGAGCTGTTTGCACTATGTGAATGGGCCTACACTCAGCGTTGCTGCAGCCATCTGGCCCCATGTGGGAGACTGCAGCTCCTGCAGTAGTATTCATAGCCCTGTGCAACCGGGATGTGTCCAGCTCCTGAATGGCTTCTCTGCCTGGGAGGTGGCAGAGGTGTTCAGGCTGCCCAGTGCCACAGGGTTCAGAGGTGAACTGACCTGATTTTAGCCCCTGATTTTCAGGGGTTTTGGCAGAACCACCTCCCCTGCAGCCCCTGCCCAGTTCTCCACTATGGGCCCTCTGCGCCTCTCAGCAGGGTTAGCTCATCCAAGTGTGAGTGAGGAGACCGCTTTTGTGGCTGTCTGATTCTTAAAAATCCAAGCTGGAAGGCAACTGGAGGCATTATTCAAGCCTGCACTTGAGCCTTCCCTTAACATTCTTCAGTGTTAATGCCTTGTTATTCCTGTGTCATCTCTGCAGACACTGAACGGGCAGTGGAAATTCTGACCAGATACCAAAGCACCCTGCGGTCCCCGGAGGAGCAGGAGCTAAAAGCCTCCATTGGAAAAGTCTCGCACATCTTCCAAAGTGAACTCTTCCAGGCTCTGCTGGGTAAGCTCCTGCCTCGCAGTCCCTGTGGCTTTGCGGTTAGCGGGGCCTCCCAGGGGCCTGATCCTGCACAGGTGCCTGGCACTGACCAGACAGGGCACATCCTCTGCAAACACATGGCACATAATTCCAGGGAGCTGGGCTGTCTTTTCCCTCCAGGACTTGGGCAGGAGATACCAGGGGTCAGGGCTGCGATCGCTGGGTGTTTGTGATGCGATTCCTCAGTTGCGTGATTAAAGACAAAGGGTAAAGCCTTCTTCATCTGGTCATGCCAGATCTATCCAGCACCTGCTAAAGGATCCTGCCATGCTGTGAGCACCCTCTGTGCAGTGCAGCCACCGCTGGGTTTCCAGTTCTGCTGCCGTACAAGGACACCCCACCCCAGCCTCATCACAACCTGCTGCTTTCCACTCCTGCTGCCAAATTGAAGGGAAATTAAATTTTTCTATCTTTAAGAGAGAATCCACATGTATCCAAGCTCCTTTGGGGTATTCTGGCCTTTTTTGCACTTAGACCCACAAGCACTTGTAAGTAACACACTGTTCCAGCGGCTCCATTTCACACAAGAAATAGATTTAACAGCAAGGCTCATCTTGGGGCCGGACACCAGAAAATGTCATTTTTAGCACTGTATAAAGTTCTCCATGTGGATTTAGACAAATACAGCTAGAGTCTTGCTGGACTTTGCAGCTTCTCTGTGCAAGACACAGGGCTATCTTGCTGATAAGGGCATTTGAAAATGCCCTTTCTTTGCAAAGTGTTTTTTTAAGAAAAACAAAATTCAATGGGTTTGGACTCTGAAGCTGCTTGACTCCATTCCCTGCTAAATCAGACCAAATCCTGGCTGTGACGGTTGACTTAGAGCACTAATTTCAGAGTTAATCCCAGAGAACCATTTGCAGAAGCTGCAGTGTGTGGAGAGGGGCAGGAGCTCCCACTCAGCTCCTCTCCTTAAGTTCTATTTGCTGTGGGCCTCGGGAAACACATGCAGCCCTGGTGGTCTCTTTTCCTGGGTCTACTGGGAGAGAAGCTTGGTTTTCCTGGTGGGAAGGAAGGGAAAGCACCCCAAAGGCTCTGCACTCCTAGAGGGAATCCTGGTCCCCAGGGTGCAGAGGTGCACATGTGGTGTGTGGCTCATTCTCAGTGCATTTTGACCCAAGGCTGTCACAACCCTGGTGCTCCCCCTCACCCGCCTGTCTTGTCTCTTGGCAGCTCTCACCTTTTCTTCACACCTCTGCAGCCAGAGACCCACTTCTGTGCCTGCAGAGGTGTGAGTTGCCAGCAGCTCCTCTGTGCTTCAGGTTTTCCATTGAAGATGAAATTGAGTGGTGTGTCTTGAGCTATTTTATTCTTTCCTTTCTTCTTTCTTGCTGTTGGAGCATCACCTCGAGGCTTTCAGTCCCAGCGTGTCCTTTTGAAGGTCTTGTGCTGGAATGTCTGTGCCAGCAGAGACACGTGGCTAGGGAGGCTTTCCCAGGGCAGGTGGGCCCCCACACTGAAGGGACCAGTGTGCATCTCCTTTCTTGTCTCTTAATTTATACAACCCGTTCTCTAAATGGTCCACAGCCCGTGGTTCACCCCAACCTGGAGGCTGTGATCGCCTCGGCAAACCTGACATGAACCCAACACCCCTGGCTGCTTTTGTGTGCTCTGCCAGTCCTCCCTGGGGCTGTGTGAAGGCAGTGAAGCAGCTTTCCCAAGGCCCAGGGCTGTTGATATTAGTGCAGAAGTGTTGTGGAGAGAGTGTAGCTGCGGAGAACACGTCTGCACACGCGCCGAGCCGGCTGCAGCTGCACGCTGGCAGGCGGATGCTGCACAGAGCTCCCAGCTCCCTGCTCTCAGCCCTCTGTCTTGGTGCCCTGTCAGCGCTGGCACGGGGGAGTGTCGGGAGTGTCGCTTGATTGCTGGTGACCTTTTCAACTGGTTTAACAGGATATTAATTCCCCCGTGCCAGAGCGAGCTTTCTCTAGATGTGTTTACCTAAACTAGGAATTTGCATTAATTACTTCCGCCCCCTCCCCCCTGCTTCCCTTGGAGTAGGTTTGTGAATTCCTCTGTCCCAGCATGGACATTGTGTCTGGCTGCGTGCTTGCTGTGACCACACACAGCTGGCACGCACTGGGTTGCCTCGTGTCCACGGTCCAGACCCACTGGAGCACAGTGACAGCACTGGAAGGGTGATAGGACATTTCTGTTTTATTTGCTTTTCACTCCTCCTTTTCCCAGTGGGCTGCTGTGTCCCTGACTGAAGTTTCTCCGAGTCACAGCGCTGGTTCAGTGTTTATCTGAGGGAGGAGGATTTGCAGAAGAGCCACAGATACACCTCTCAGTGCAGAGGCTCCCATCTCACTGGCCCACACCATGCCAGATGCTTCTGGCTCTGGAGAGGCCTTAGCCTCCTCTTGCAGCCTTTCAGCAACAAGACCCTGCTTTTTTTCAACCCCTGGGGATGATGAATGTGTGAGCATGGTTTATCCCTGTCCTCAGGTCGTCTGCTCCTGCAGGTAATGCTTTCCCAAGGCATGCATTGGCTGGCTGGAATTTGAGCATCAAAATGCATTAGGCCATAGAAGAGCTACCAGAAGTGAAAAATATCATGGAGTTTGCCAAGTTGGTCTATATAAAAAAATGCCAGGGATACGACTTTCCATATAATTTTTTTTCAAGAATAATCCATTTTGGGGGCTCCAGAAATTCCAGTTTGTCCATCTCCAGAGGTGGATCTGCTGGGATGTTCAGATAAAGTTTGTGTTGTGTCCAGGATGCATCTGTGTAGTGCTGGATGTGTCTGTTACTGTGATCGTGCCCAGTGTTGCTCTGCACATGCACCGTGTTCTGCCAGAGCACAGGACAGCCCCTTAAATCCTTGTGACCACCTCCCTGTCCCTGGAGCTGCCCATGCCTGGGGCACACTGACTCTGCCAGGACTGCTCCTGTCCCAGCGGGTGCCGCGGCTGGCTCGGCACGGCACAGCGATGCGGGAGCTGCTCTGCGCTGGAATGTGCCAAGCCCTGCTCCGCACAAAAGAAATTCCTTGGCTGCTCGGAGGGAAAACAGCCTGTGCTGGCTCCCTTCTCCTGGCCCCTCTCTCCCCGTGTCTGAGGCTGTGGAGCCAAGTGCGTGACTTGCAGGGAAACAGCCCAGCAAAAGGGCGATCGAGGAGCCTGGACTGGGGTGAGGTGGTCCTGCTTTCCCTTTGCTACTGGGAGCCCCTCAGGGAGACGCTCAGTCTTCTCTCCTGGAGAGGAGGATGGGTCTCACACACAAGAGCAGCTCCCTGACCTTTCCTTCCCAGAGCCGGGGCTGAAAGGGGCCGTTGTGCCCTTTGCAGCGGGAGAAGCTGGGTGGACAGGCAGGGTTTGTCTACATCTGTCCATCCCAGCTGCCAGCAGCCCAAGGGGCTGTGCTCCTCCCAAAAGCCCTCTGGGATTCAGCTCATCTCCTGTGCCTGAGCAGTGGCTGGTGCAGACCTCAGTGTGGCTCTGTCAGCCGCTTGGACCCCCAACCCTCCCCTGCAGCTCCTTTTACCCCAGAAAAGGTTCTTCCCAGAGCTGTGGTGAAGGCAGGAGAGCAGGCAGTGCTTCCCCGGGTGCAAAACTCCAGCTGGGAGTTCAGCTTGCCAGCAGTGCTCCTGGAATGGTGGTTGTGGCTTCCCTGGGTGGCTGCAGGAGCCAGGGTGGAAAACTGGAGGAATCTGGAGGATCCCCATCGCTGAGGACTCCTCCTCTTTTAAGTTTGCCCATAGCAAGAATAGAAACTTGTAGCTTTCTTGAAAGATCTGCTGTGGCAGCCATGTGTGTGAATCCTCCCTGTGGCAGTGGGGACATGGCTGAGGGTCTGGTGTGAGGCTGAGGTTTCAAGTCTGTGGTGATGCAGCTGGTGCCAGAGCACATACTGGGGAAGAAATGTCATTTTTTGGAAGTGCATGTGCTGGCACAAGGACACTGCATTAGCCCTCAGATGCTGGTGCTATAGAAATATTTAATGACATTTATTTGATGAATTAACCCCAGGAGGAAATTGTTGGAAAAATTCTAATGTCTGTAAATCTTGAGTTACTTTTCCTTGTTAGATCCAGAACGGATTTACACTGTCATCACACAGAAACTGGGCTGTAAGGCAGAACATGCAGCATCATCTTTTGCTACCACAACATCCTCTTACGGAGGCTTTTCAGGTAGTGCTGCTCTTAAAGAGCACAGGTGAGGCAGATTTGTGTGCAATTTGTGGTGCTCATAAGAAATGAGGGAACCTGGCATATATTTAAATTATCTTTAATGCCACATGCATGTCTTCTAAAATGCACTTCTGTCATGGCCACATCCTTTGCTGCCTGAACCCTGCCCACCAATCCTGAAACTCCTCTAATCCCTGGTGCCAGCAACAATTCCCTCTTCTGGCAAGCACCTAAACTGGGCTGAGGGTTTTGGAGGTGGAGAGTGGCTGCTTCAGGGGACAAGTTTTCTGCTCTGCAGGCATCTTGCCAGCTTGGCTGCCCCAGGCTGTGTTCCTGCAGCAGATGGGTGACAAACGGGGATGCCAGCAGCACTGCACCCCCACAGTGGGGCTGTTCAAACCCTGTTTTCATTCTTGCAGAGTTTTGTGTGTTCCAAATGCAATCCATGCAGCCAGGAGCCGCTGCTATCCTGTTATGCAATTATTATTTTTATAACCAGAGGGAGAGATGTTTTAGCACAAAAACAAAGTCCGGTTTGTCTGGCTGTGCAGTGACCGCTTGCTGTGACCTCATGTCTGATTTGGGAAGGCTTCAGGGGCTGCCAGCAGCGTGTTCTGCAGCTGGGGGGTTGTGGAGGGGTACCCCAGGTGCAGTGGGTAGATCTGGGGACTCCCACTGCTCCCATCATTGCCAGCTGCCCCATGTCTCCCAGGGCACAGGACAGCAGAGCCTGGCTGGGCTCCCCATGGGCACCCAGCTGGTCTGCCAGCCAAGATTTATAGCAGCTTCTTCCCTGCAGCTGGGAGGTCACCAGACCAGGCAGCCCCAGGGAGGTGGAAGATGGGGGTCGATGCTGCTCTCATCCCATCTGCAACATGGATGTGCTGCTGTGGTGATTGGGCATGTGGTTAAGCACAGGGAGAGAGGATGGGCACTTGCATCTGGGGGTGCAGCCCTGCTTTGTGAAAGCATCCCTGGTGTTGTGGGCAGAGTGGGAGCTTCAGACAAAGTTTATTGGAGAAGCCCTCCTTTTGAGTCATGAGGAGCTGAAAGGAACCCCTTGCTTTCTAAACTCTTCAGAGAGGAGCCTGGGTGCAGCTGGATCCAGTCTTAGCCCCAGACTTTGTCACTGTTTTATGTCTAAAAGATTATACAGGTGTAATTGAACCTTTATACAGCTTTGTCCCGCAGGATTAAGGATGGCCTAATACATTTATATAAATATATTAAATTATTTATTTATGTTGATTAGTGATGATTAGAAAAAGGGCTTAATCAGAATTTATTTACTACACATTATGAATAGCTATAACTACTAGTGTAGTGCACTGCTTTTGAAGCAATATTAGAGTAATTCTATTAAAGCTAGGTAAAAAATTATTAAGTAGAGATTGATGTTACTCACCCATACCAATGCCTGTGGGTAAATCTCTTTCACTCGGCCTCAAGGAGTAACCTTGAGGGGTGTCCCCACTCAAGGGAAGGATCTTCACAGACCTTAGGTATGATAGAAGTCCTCACTGTGCAAAAATAGGACTGGCCTTTTATAGTATAAAGTGATTGACTGTCAGTCATTTGCATTTTTCAGATTACATGTTATGAGGTTTAATCAGCAAAACATGCTTTGTGCTGGAAAAGGTGTGAGCAGCTCTTTTAGTTTCTTCTTTTTGCCACTCCTGACTCTCACTTCCATATCAGAGCCTGCACATTTTTGCTGCTCCCAGATTCAGTCAGGGAGCACTTGTCTTGCATGTCCTGGTGGGGTTTGAGAGTTTGACCAAGCTGGTCTCAGCATTCCTCAGCACTCAGAACAGCAGACCCTCCTCACTCAATCTTATCATTGGTCAGCAGACCCTCCTTGCTCAGGCCTTCACTGATAAATTGTAAGACAAATTTTGAGCTGCCGTATCCACGCTTAGGCAGAGCATCCTGCTACACCTGGGAAATACCCTCAGTCAGTGGTCAGCATGTCCCTCCTCACGCTGCCAAATGCTCACCAGATTTCCTTTGGAAATCTGTATAACGTGGGCGTTTAATACCCCATGGTGCCTTGGTGTGGCATAGCTGCAGGTGAGAAATCACAGACTGAAGGGCTGGTTCAGCCACTTCACCCATGGGCTCCCAGGGAGTGCCATGGGAATGGCCACGTCCCCCTCAAGCTGGGCCCCACTGCTTGCCCTTCAGGTCACTTGCAGAAGAGGAGCTCTCCGGCTTCCTCCACAGCAGACGCAGGTACAGAAAATGAACTCAGGTTCCTGCTGTGGCTTTTCCTGCTCCGAGTGCTTATTTATGCTGCCGTGACTTTTTGGCCCTGCTGACTCTGCCAGGCTTCCTGTTTCCCAGGTGCTTGAAGGGATTTATTACTTTTTTATGGCTTTTGCAAGGCATTTACCAAACTCTTTTGGCCGACCTTTTGGAGCTTTACCTCTAACCTGGCAGCATTTACCATCCTTTCTGGTTTTCTCATTTAAATGCAGCTTCAGCTGTTTAGATTAATGTCTTCTCATTTTCAATAGCGTCCCTTCCCCTGAGGTCGAGCCTTGCTTTCCTCCCTTTTGCCTTTACAGTATCCTTCAGCCAGGCACTGCACGTCTGCTCTGATGTCCCAGTGAGTCTCTCTGAATAGGCTCAGAGCCTCCCACAAATTTTTGTTACCCCTTTCAGTTTCTTCATATAAAAGTTTCTCACTTTTGGTATAGTTCCCCTCCTGAAATTAAACACTTCTGCAGTGGACATATTGGCTTTTGTTGCTCCCATGGAGGTGCTGGCCCTGGAGATGAACTGGGGGCTGCCTGAGTGCGCAGCAGTGGGGGCTTCCTTAGGGAGGAGCAAAGCCCACTGCATCCCTGCTGCTCCCTGGAATCCTCTGTGTGTGACCAGGAGAGGGTAAAATCCTCCTGGAGGGGGTCTGGGCTCCCACAGCCCCTCTGGAGCCACTATGGTTTACAGCAGCAATCTCAGGTCCTTGGAGCCCAGAATGAGGATACCTGACATCTGCTTGTGGCAGTGCACAGGTAAATCATGCCAGGAGGGAAGACAGAATTTATCAGGGAAGGAGCTGGAGATAACACAGATGTAGTCATCAGCTCTTTAGAGCTGGTACACTGTGAGCCTGCCCTCCTAGTGCCCTGTGCCCTCTGCCTGTACTCCTGGGAAAGGAGCCCTTCCACAAGCCAGGGCTGCTGGGGAGCAGTGATGGGGAGGGAAATGCCCATCCGTGTCAGGGCAGAGAGGCAGGCAGGGACTGGCTGGTGCAGGAGGGTTTTTGGAGCAAAAGGGTCATGGCACCAAGCCTGGGGCTGGCACAGCCTGGCGAGCAGGATGGGGTGAGTTTCGGATTGATGTTGCTGAGCATGGTTTGCTCTTAGACCCTGTGGACTGCACGGTCATTGCTCCTTGGATATGCCTGTGCCTTCCAGAGCCATGGGGCACTGCCCTCTGAGCCAGGCACCCCTCTAACCCTCTTGCCTTCAGAAGGGGTGTGGTGGGCAATGCAGCAAGTGTGGGGAGCCAGCAGAGCCCTCTCCCAGGGTGCCAGCCTCTCACAGAGGGCTCAGACCTATGATGCTCTGGAGGCAGAGTGGGAGGGCACGAGTGCTGCACCACACACAGGAGCTGGCCTCAGGCTGCCTCCCAGGTCCTGTGGATGTTTCTCGTGCTGTTTTGCAGATATCCATGAATTCTATGATTTCACGCTGCGCTCTGCACCCCTGCAATCTCCGAGCCTGGATGCACATCATGGCACAGCCAGGCAGCAGCATGGGGCCAGCGAGCCCAGCTCTGCAGTGACCCCCAGAGAGCCCCAAAACCTGCCTGAGGTAAGAGCCAAACTCGTAATGTTGCGAGGTCAGACTCTGCACACTCCTGCACTGAGAGGGAGGCAAGGAACACAGGAGGCTGCTGGCCACCACAGCCTGCCCAGCTCTCATCCAGACTGTTTCCACACCTTCTCTGTCATAGCTTGTCTCATTAATGAGGCAACTTCTCTGGTTCACAAGTGTTAATTGAATTACTCCTAACGTGAACAGCTGCAGTTCCAGCTCTGGTTCCTGCTCTGCTGTTGCAGCTGGATTAGTTGCTCCTGTCTGACACTGTCTCCCATGGAGGCATTTCAGCTCTCTGATCCAGCCACCTCGCAGGCTGCTTTTGATAAGTGAAGTAGGTTGAGTCCTTTAAGATTCCCTTTTCAGGATTTTTTTTCCCAGCTCTCAGATAACTTCTGTCTCTCTTATTTGCATTCTCTTTAATTTTCAACAGCCTTTTAAAGGCTGTTCTGGTTAGAGGCTTTTGAAAGATAGAGCACCAGGTGGGGAGGCAGGAATTGAGCAGTAGGGTCTCACTTATCTCAAAGACACCAAGGTAAATAAAATTGCCTCGTGTCTTTGCAGGCCGTCTTCCCATCCCCCTCTCACTGCCTCGTGCCCTGCCAAGGGATGCTGTGGGATCCCCCTGATCTGGAGATACAGGAACGTTTCTGCAGAAATGCAAAAATTCAGGGAAATAATCCTATCGGATAAACACCATTTTCTGCCTCACAGACTGAACTGGCTTTCCATCATACACCTGGGGGGACACCAAATTTGAGTGTCTCACAAGGAAGATGGAGATATTATCTAAGAAATGATATTATCTAAGAAAGAACACTTGAAAGGAGTTTGGGGATCAAGAATAGGGGCAACAAAAGTGCCCACAATCAGTGCAGGATATATCTGTGTCCCTCTGACTCAGGAACCATTTTAGTCCCATTTTTTCTTGGTCCCCCTCACACTGCCAGTCCCTCTAGTTAAAGGCAAACCTGCAAATCTAGTATGTGTTTATGGATGAATTTTTAGTGATGTTATACCACAGGCAGTGGGATCCTGCTTTGGTTTTTTGGGAGTCCTGTAGCCTTGATCCACCCACCTGTGGTGGCAACAGCCACCAGTGCCTGCAGCCAGGCCAGTCTATGAGTCCTCAAGGAAATGTGACAATAAAGAATTTTGAAAATCAATAAAGAATTTTAAAAATCAATGATGTGGAAACAAGCAGGGAAGCAGCCATGGGCCCAGCACAGCTGGTGTGAGGGGTGCCCCTGCTCCCCTCACCGTGCCCTGTCTGCAGTGGGGAGGAGCAAAGTAGCCAGTCTTGGGGCTTCCTGCACTGAACACAGCCCAAGCCATTGACACCATCAAATCCCTCCTCCTTGCTCCAAAAAATGTGTTTGAGGCATCTTGTGTTGCTGAAATGTGAAGTGGGACAGCCAGAAAGAAAGCCTGCAGTGACTCCGCTGCCCCTGGGCCAGGGCCAGGCAGGCTGACACCAGCGGTGGGATGCTCACTGTGAGCCCCTTGCATGGGGGAAAGCTCCTTTTGGCCCTTCCAGAAGGGGGCCTGCCCTACCCACATGTACCCCCTGTCTCGTTTCAGGATTCCTCCTGGGACCGTGAGCGGAGGCTTCCCACGGGGACCGGGGACAGCGCGCCGGGGACGCCACCACGGCTGGTGAGGGTGACAGCACGGAGGACAGAGGCACCAACCAGTGTCTGCAGCCTGGTGCTCAGCTCTCACAGCACCCTGCCCCAGGTGAGCCTCCGTGAGCCCCACGCCACATCCCACCCTGCCAGCGGCTGGCACTGAAGGGACAGCCCCGGGGCCATGTGCTCGGAGCGCTGCAGGGATGGTGCTGTGGAGGCGCTTCCCTCCCCTGGGGCTGGCAGTGTTTCCTCATGGCCATTCTGGCGATGCTCACACTAAAAAGATCAAGCAGTCACCTGTGCCAGGGGCTGGATGACCCCGACATCATCCCCTTGCGTTGTTATTTACCACGGCCCAGTGTCAGCCCTCAGGGCTCAGAGGGCAGGTGGGTATGGCGCAGGAATAAAGAGGCTGCGTGGAGCTGGAAATCCTCCCAGCCCTGTCCCTCTCCCCCCCGGTGCTGGCACGCTCCCACGTTGCAGATTTCCATATTTTTTTTTTCTCTGAGCTCTTAAATGGCAGGTCCGTTCCTCAGCTTACCGGGAGCTTTTCTCTGCTGTCTTGTTTACTTGGAAACACCATTTATTTGGATGTGCATCGTAAATCTCAGCTCCCTCCTGGTGCGAGTGCATCATTTGGGCTACGCATTTGAGGGGAGTTTTAGGGATGAGTGAAGGGCAAAATGCGCTTCTGGGAGGGCTGAAGTGGCCAGGATGAATGGAGCTCACCACAGATTTAAAATTATATGAAAATGTTGTTTTCCTTGGCATAGTCTGAAATGATGTTTGTTTGCTAAGTCTTCTTCCAAAGTATTTTAAATACAAAAATTGCACTGCCTCTTTTCTGTCCTTTTTTTAAATGTTTTCCTTCTTATTCTGGACTGCAATAAAATGGGTAACACCCCATTTTTTTTTTCCCTTACTGTTTAATTTCTCCTTTTCCTCTTGCTTCTCTCTACATTTTCCAACATTCACCACATCTTTACCAGTTTTGGAAGGGTGGGACAGTGGTTTTCTGAACATGACAGGCAGATGAGCTTGGCTGCTTGTTTCCATTTGCCAGTGGGTGGGAACCACCACCACAGGGGAGTCATAGGGCAAAACCCATGAGGAGTGAGAGCCTGAGCAGTTGGAAACACTCAGATTTTAAGAGATTTTCTTCCTAATTGTCCCAGGCCGTGGAGTGCTCTTGCATCTAGCCCAAAATATTTGGCTGAGTTGCAATGTCTTCTTTAGCAGCAGACATCTCTAGGTTTAATTTTAAGGCTTTGTGCAATGGGGAATCTGCTCTGTCCCTGGCCTGGCTGTCCTGATGGTTATTTATCCTTCACATTAAAAATCTGTACTTTACTGTTAGCCTGGATTTCTCTTGCCTTAGCTCCCAGCACCAGGAAATTTTGCTGCCTTTGTTTGCTAGGATAAAGGACCTTGGCAATCAGAAATGTTCCCAACATGTAGGTATTTATAGATGCGTCTAAGTTCCCTCTTAACTTTCCCTTAGATAAACTAAACAGATTGGCTTCTTCACTCGCTCACTGTGAGGCAGGTTGTTCCAGACCTGAAATAATTCCTGTCATTCTTTTCTGGAGTTTTTTTTATTTTCAACCTCCCTCTTTCCCAGCCTGCGTCGATACGGGGCTGGTCCTCGGTGCCAGGCACTGGCACTTTTGGGGTCACCCATTTGCAGGAACTGCAGCTGCCAGCCCCGAGCAGGGGGTTACTGCCCTGAGAGGGAGGAAGCAGAGGGGACCTGGGTGGGCTCCATGGGGCTCTGGGAGGACTGTGCTCTGGCAGGGCTCTCATCTGCAGCCTTTTTCATCCCAGAGGATGGTCACTTCACAGGGTGGCTGCAGGCAGAGTAGGGACCTGGAGGTGAAAAGCTGTCAGGATGGTAGTGTTCAGTGCCAGGCTTAGCCATACCTGTAGTCCTGCCTGAAACTCGGCTTTCTTTGGAGACTCAGAAGCTTTCCTGAAAACTGGAACTAAGTAGTACTGGAAAGCTGCAGGCGTGAGCACTGCTCCTCTGCAGCAACCCCTGGGCTGCAATATGGAGTCCTTTAACGTGGTGGTGAGTCTTTCCTCAAGATGTCATCTTCACTGCTGAACACAGGCCTTGCCCTGGTGAAGGGGGAGCATTTCCAGCCATCCCCCATGCCAGCAGGTTGGACCATGCCACGGGTGCAGCCGTGCCTGGCGTCAGGCTGTGCTGATCCACCGCAGCACAGGCCCTGTTTCTCACCCCTCACTCCTACACGAAGGCACTGAGGACACCTCAGCTCCTGCCAGCATCACCTCTCATGTCAGTTCTCAACAGGCCCAGCATGCAGGACAGCGTCAGGGCTGGATAACACCTACACACCCAGTGCCTGTCAAGCTCCATGGGGACTTGTTGCTTTCCAGCCTTCGGTGCTTGCTTTTCGCCACTGGCATTTCCAAAGTGGGTTTCAGAAAAACACCTGAGATAAGGCAAATGGCACTTGGAAGAACCAGAGAAGCTTTGATAATAGGCAATATTTAATGCTAGAGCAGGGAACACCAGCTGCAGGGCACAGCAGCTGCCTCCCTGGTGCTATCAGCCCAGGAACAAGAGCTCTAGTGGACACCCTGCCACTGATAAAAGGCAAGATGATGAACTGACTTGTCCTGCCTGAAGTAAGTGCAATGCTCTTATTGCATCCGTTGATGTAAATAAGTTTTATGCTGTCCTGGCTTTTTCCTCTCCCCTGCCCTCAGGTCTCCCCTGCAGTGTTAGCAGAGCAAAAGCCACCTTAACCTGCTTTAGCCAGGAAGATGCACGACAAATAAATTGCCTCTCCGCACAAATGCTTCCAGGAACAGGAAATTTCTGACTGCTGGCGAGGATATGGGTGTGCTCTGAGTAGCCCTGCAGTGTGCAAATGGCTGCTACAGAGGAAGCGGTGCCGGTAAATACAGCAACAACATGTGCTTCCTGTCGAGGCTTAGTGGGCTGAAACCATCCCTCCAAGGGCAAGTGGATGTTCAGCCCTCAACAGGGCAGGAGCAAAGGGACTTTGCCAGCTAAAATGCCCTGTTGAGGCACATACAGGCACAATCCTGCCTGAACTCTGGGGCTTGAGGGGTTTTATTTGCTGAATCCTTCATTTCAACCTTTCCCCGAGCCCTGTGGTTGCCTTAGCAGGGCTGCTCGAGGCTTATGTGTGTCTGCAGCGGGAAGACTCGAGAGGATGCTCCTGGGGCCGATGCCACTCGCCTGTGCTCATAGGCTGGCAAAGCTGCAGCTCTCGGAGAGAGCAGAGCAGCCAGCAGAGAGCAGCCAGCTCTCTGTGCAGAGAGCAGCCAGCTGGAAAGAAAAATGAAAGGGGAACAATGCCGCTGATGAGTAGAGCTGTGCGCCTGCGAGGAAGCGCCGCTCTTCTTCCCTGCCACCCTCTCCTGCTTCCCAGCACGGCTCTGCAGCCACTCTGACTTCATCCCTGTCATCGCGCCAGTGCGGTGCCGCCCCTCCCGCCTTCTCCTGCCCGTGCATCCCCTCCCACCTGCCGAAGGGTTTGTCGCTTTGCTGGCCGACACCAACGCCAGAGCTCTGTCCTTGCTCAGCCCTACAGCTGACACTGAGCAACAGCAGGTCAATGTGATGGAGAGTACGAGCGAGACTCCTTCAGAGGACAGACACTGCGTGTGTGCTCTGAGATCACTGGTGAACAGGAAACCTTGCTGGCAGGGGCCGCTGCTGCTCCCACAGGCTGTGGGTGTGTGGGGATGCTGTGAGCATGAGAGGTGCACTCTGTGCTTTAGCCCTGCTGGGCCGAGGCCAAAAATGTCCCACTCCACTCCCTGTGTCCCAAGGAGGACGCAGCCCTGGGCAGTGTTAGGAGCCCTCCCTGCTGCACGTGCTGCTGAAGAAGAGGCATCAGTCTGCCCTATAACCCACAGCTCAAGAGCCGAACAGGTCCATGGAGCTCCCTGGGGAATGTGGCAGAGAAAGGCAAGCTGTGCCGCCGGCGTGGCGACCGGCTGTCTGCTTCCGCCGTCCTTCTCTCGAGTGCTTTTTCCTCTTCCCGGTATGCCTTTGGCCGAAGAGAAGGGCGTTTCCATGCTCTGCACCTTTGCCTGGCAGGAGCAGCGGGTCAGGATGAGCCCAGCGTGTGGCAGATGCTGCAGCTGCAGAGACGCCTGAGCTGTGAGCTCCCCGCTCCCCTGCCTCGGCTGCAGCCCCACCACTCTCCATTTTCTTTGCAAGGTGTGTGAAAGGGGGAGCACCAAGGAGCTGTTTGTTATTGCATGGAGCATCAGGGAAGTTAAGCAGATCCCTGTTGTGGTGAATGTCTGACACTGAATGCAGCCCCACTAAGAAACCCCCCATCAAGTTGCTTGGTTGCACATGCCCTGCTGTCCTCACCACCCCATGTCCTCTCTGTGGGCTGACTGGGCAGGCAGCTGAAGCCATTGCTGCAGGCCAGACTGACCACTGCTTTGTCTCAACCTGAGCCCAGCAGCATCAGCCCTGCAGCCCCACAATCCTGGGAAGTGGCTAATGCTCAAGCAATGGGAACACAGAAGTAACCAGCTCCCAGGGAAACTCCCCCCTCCCCGTTGCATCCCCATGCAAGTCTGAGAGCATGTTTATTTTAGGAGAAGCAGAGAAGAAAAGCAACAACCCACAGCTCACAGGCCCCGGCTGCTGCCCCAGAGTCACTTGAGCCACTTTGTGCCTGGAGGTCGCCCCAGGGCATTCAGATGCTCTCCAGCAATTTTGTGTTTTGACATTGTAGACATAGGCTCCAAAGTGCTGAACCCAAGAGGGTGTCTGTCTGCAGTAACACACACAGATTGAACACACATCAGCCCTGCACAACACGAGCACCCAGCTGGGCAGCTGGCTGCCTGTGTCCCACTGATGCTGCTGCTCAAAGGGGGGGTCAGCAAGGGCTGTGTCAGTAAGAGCTGTCACTTTGGTGGACATTTTGGGGTTGAACGGCCTCAGCTTTACTAGAGGCTCTTGCTATTCCTGCTGCAGAGATGAACATGCTTAGACTTCAGTTCTCCCACTTCAATATACAGCTTCAGCAAAGGATGAAGAAGTCAGTAGAGCCACCAGGCTGTCAAACCAAAATCTCATGCATGGCC